AGAAGCTTTAGAATTGAACCTCTTTAAAGAGGGAGCTCCTCCTCCCTTCTCTAGGGTTCAGAAAATCTGTTCTTGAGGGAATAGATATACCCTTGTATCTATATTTCTTAGTTTAGCCTTGTTTTGTATACAAAAGTATAGTATTTTCTTACTATTGTACAAACACACACACTAGAACACCATCCTTGGTTACTGAGGTGCTAGGAGGTTGATTTCAGTGTTCTTGGGTTGGTTTAAACTCAGAAAACCTGCTGGAGCTTTGTTCTTGAAGAGGTTCTACAAGGGTGAGTTCCTTGCTTTAGATACCCCATTCTTGCTTCAGCTTTTAGCCCTTCTTGCTCATTGTTTTAAGCTTAGATTATAACTGACAAAAGTTCTAATTTTTAGTGCTTAAGACCTTTGTTTAAGGTCATTTTTTTGTTTGGGATTGTTTCCCCCCTCTTAGGCCTTGTTTGGCCTTATTCTTGTGCTTTATTTTTAAGCTTTGAGATCACCTTGTTTAGGCCTTCTCACCACTGAAATCCAGAGGGAGGGGACGGTGTTTTAAGGTCTCAAATAGGAGAGGGCCATCCCCTCTCCTTGTTGTCTTTAATGCTTGCATAAACGGCTTATGTTTATAGCATGCGTGATTAGCTTGTTTTAGCTTCATTTCAGTACATATTAGGCTTTGTTTTGCCATGATATAGCACTGTTTTGACTTGGTTTAGGCATACCATGCATGCTTTGTATACTTGTCGTGTAATCCCACAAGTTGCCTTAACATGCACCATGTTGTAACATGTCTTTTTAGCATGATTTTGGCTCAACTCCATGAAGCTTCTAGCTTTGTTTTAACATGATAAAGCTCTGATTTTGGTTGTTTTGGTCCTCCATGACTTGCTTTGTATAGCCACCATGTAATCTAGCTTGTTAGCTTTGAGTGTTCAAGTCATTAGCATGCACTATTTCGACCATTTCAGTGGTTTGGCACCACTTGTTATGCTATTTCAGTCCATATAGTATGTTCATACGCTTGCACTTGTAGTTTCTTTAATGCTTTAAAGAGTTGGTATGTTATGCCTCATGAATGTGTCATCATGTATGCCACCTTTGTCACACCCCAAATCCGGGCATGACCGGCCGTAGCCCACAGGGACTTAGCCCAAGGCACACGTAAGCCTAAACATGAACCCAAAAACCAAAAAGAATAAATGTGATGATAGCCAAGAAATAAATAAATAAGGGTAAAGTTCTTCTTATTAATAAGAAATCTTGCCAAAGTCAGCTAATACATAGTATTGAAGTGTAAAAATACAACAAGATGGCTCTAAATAGGTCAGTGGAGACAAAAGAAAGATGGAAGAAGGATCGTTTTATTGGAAATACCGCTTCAAGTGCTCTGCATTCCATGGGTGTGGGAGATTTCTTCCTTCCATATCTTGGAGGCGGTAGGTGCCTAGGCGTGGCCTAGACTTGACGATGTAAGGCCCTTCCCACTTGGCTGCTAACTTTTTTTCGGCCAGGTTCTTGCTAGCCAGAGTTGCTTCTCTGAGGACAAGGTCTCCTATGGCGAACGCCTTGGGCCAGAATTTGTTGTTATAATGTCGTCGCATTGTGTAGACACCCCATTTTTGACAGTCCTCAAGACTTGGACGTCATCGTTTGAACACTCGATGATCATCCTTGTTCGTGTTCGTTTTGAGTTCTCGGAGGTCTCAGCTACACGCCTTGCCTCAAGATCTCTCAACTTGTCTGTTTTGTGCTTGGTTGTGGACCAAACACTTGTGTTTTTGCTTCTAAGAGAAGAGGATGGCTTGTTTACCATCCCCTCAACCCACCGGCCAAGGCATGATGTCATCGGCCCCTTGTTCTTGCCATCGGACAAGAGTATTGGCCAGTCGGCACTATTTTTGGTCCGCTGGCCCTTGTGTTGGTCGATTGGCCATTTTTGCTGGCCAAACCCTGTTCATCTGCTTTATGCAGATATTTTGAGCCAACTAGCACAGCTGGCATCCACAATTCACCCCCTCCATACACGTGTATGAAGGGATTGGCCCCTTTGCTTAGCTTTTCTTAGAAGCTTTAGAATTGAACCTCTTTAAAGAGGGAGCTCCTCCTCCCTCCTC